GGAGACTTAGCCGGATGCCATAGGAACTCCTAGCACAAAAAATAAATAATGTGCAGAAGCTCTGTCTTTATTTGATTTTTGCCATCTTTAACCTTCCAAGCTGCAGCTCTGCTCTTTAACCAGTTGGAATTTAAATGTGTTGTTACAGTAGTGTCTTTGTTGGAGATGTACTCTGACTTGTGCTCATTAAGGCTACAGATGTCTGTTCAGATTATGTGTTTCAAAAGCTTTTTCTCTGATGAACTGTGAAAAACCAGGCTTGAGCAGAGGATTGCGACAGATAAAATAATAGTCTCTCATCCCTGTGTCTGGCAGACTTAATGCAGTCACTCTCAGATCTTTTTAAAAACTTTGAGACAGCAAATTTGTTCACAGTCAGTAAGATAGCCCTCTGAGCACAACCCATTATGTTTCCTTTATCAGTCTTTCCCTAAATTATTCACAAAGCTTTTTATACTCCAAAAATCTCTAATCTGCGAATTCAGCATTTCCCAGATAATAAGGTTTAATAGGCATAAGTGGCATTGATAAACTGTTTATATGTGGTGTGATTAAAAAACACAGATCTTCTTGGTGGGGGGGAGCACGAAAGAATAAACAATCCATAAATTTAAGCTAAATTAGCTCGCCCACTCACCTTTTTTGTGAATTTGCATTTAATAGCAGAGCAGACAGAACTTTTTAAACCTGCCTGGATAATACCTGCTTCTTCTGGGAGAAGATGACTGAATTATCAAGAAATTCAGTTCAGTGAGTTCTGTGATGTGTAAACATTTGCTGAAAGTTACTAGAGCAGAACTAAAGAGTCATGGTTTTTTCTTTCTATAAAGGTTTCTTTCTATATTTTTCAGGTGTTCTTATATCTTACCTTCTCCCTATTACAGTGTGCACAAAATGGATAGAGGTTCATTGGGCAGTCTCTGCTAGGTACCCCTCATTCCCTTCCACACCTCTGTGTACTCACCTGGGTCTACAAAACCCCAGAATTTTACCAAGGAATTACCAGAACTTATTCATTTCAACATGATCAGATATATAGTAAGAGAAAGAAAAAACTTGATGTAAAAGTCTCTTGTATGCAAAACTGGCTCATAGTTCTGCTACTTTTGTTTTAGCTGTGCTGTAGAGCAGTTTTCTTGCTAGAGACTATTAAGGGCAGTTCATTCCTTTTCCTTGAATGGCAAGTGCCTTCTCTAGGGCTACAAGCCAAGCAGTGCTGATAGGCTCAGGTAATGTTACTTTCACCTTTTGCAGGTTTGGATTTACTGGCTTTGCTAGAAAAGGGAGGTTAGATGCAGGTTGGTCTTTCTTGGTTTAAACTACACCACAGCAGAAGTGAAATACCACTGGACTTCACTTGTGATTGTGTTTTGCTAAGGGACCTTAAGATGGCCTCTTCTTGGCCCAGAAAACGCACCTATAAGGCAAGAATAGGGTTATGGTGGTGGAAGAAGACTTTGTTTCGATGATAGCCAGATCTTCCTTTGCAGAACTTTGTCTCAGAGATATGGTGCGCTCTGTGTCTGTGTAAAGGTATAACGACTATGAATGATTAGGGAGCTGGATTCTTCATATGGGGAGAGAGAGTGTCTCCATGCAAAGTACTCAGCGCTGCCCAGGGCACAAGAAAGAGCACTTGACAGATAAACCAGACTCTTGCCTCTTCACAGGATATATCTGTACGGAGTATCAGTGCAGCTCCATGTTAGAGACACACAGGGTAGAACTAGCTGAACTGATGGAGATGCTGATTCAAATCCCAAAAGCAATATTGCTGAGCTGGCTGGTTCAAAGGCTGCACCAGATAGCAGTATTCAAAACAGCACCTTCACATCTGTATTTCTGGTTCAGAGATCTCTACACAGACCTGTAGTCCCTTGTGTAGGCATGCCCTTAGATCGCACTTGATCTCAGAGATGCAGTGAACGAAATGGGAATAGAAGCAACAGATCTGAAAACCTGAAAACGAATAGAGACTTACTGGTAAACAAATGATGTTTCATTAGCCACAGTAATCCCAAAGGTCCAAAACAGCATGATAAGTGCAAATTTACCCAAAATCTATGCAAGATATGTGGGTGGTTGTTGCATGAAAAGAATCATAAAACCAGATAAAATAGATGTTTTTTTCAGACTGTCCTAAAGCTGGTCATCAGATCCCATCTGACTTCTGACAAAATATTTTTTCTTCAGCAATCTGGTTAATCTGTTTGGATTTATGGAGGCGTTTTGTGCAGGACCTAGAAGATGCTATCCTAAACAGGTAGATAACCTCAAAAGTTTTGAAAAGAAGTTGACATAGAATTCAGTCCTCTCATTTTTCTTCCCTTTTAATAAGATGGAGGTTATAAAGAGAAGGGACTGTGCTGCTGCAGAATGATGTCATGATAACTAATTAGGTCTCATCAGGTCTGCAAAAGCATCCTGTTCTCAGTCTTACACCAATGCGCTGTAACCAGTGAGCTGAATTAAAGTCTTGCGGTATTTTACTGGGATATCATAATACATTTACCTTCCTTGCACTGAAGAATTGCAGGTAGTGGTATTTATCCATGGATCATTCCTTGTAAATAAACTTGTTGATGTTTGCATAAAAATTATCTATCTGCTTGTCACTATACTCCCTACGCTGGCCCCTGTCCGTGATATGTGACAACGCATTCGTTTCTCAGCTGGTGAATTTAGGGAGTGTATTAGAGAAACCACAGCAATATGTGATGAACTGTAATTAAAATTACTAATGCATGGAAATTCCTTTCCTTCCTTCTGCTTTGATTTACATTTTTCATGCAGACTTTGTTCACTTTGCTGGCTCACTCAAGCCAGAGACCTAATGTTGACTGGTAACAATGATTTCTGCTTTCTCTCCAGCACAGTTGCATGGAGAAATAAATTTAGTAAGGAACCTCGCTGAGGTGTGACACTAGGTATCGAGAAAACTGTGTGGCTTGCAGCTGGCCTTCAAAGCTCTGGTCTGGGGTCATAGTGGCATCATCAGTAAAACAGATCTATTTGAGTGGTAGTTTTTGTACTCAGTAACAGGACCAATAATTATGTTTTCTTAGTTCTGGTACTGTCTGTCTTTCCCATCTCATCCCTTCTTACTAAAATATCTGTGATTTAAAATGGAGATGTTGAAAGGATTAGCCATTTTATGTTGTATCATGTTACCTACCTAATGCATAAATTATTTTTAGTGATGCTGGAAAATGTGGCTCGGTGTTTAACCATGGAAGTGAAATACCAAAATCAAATATCGAGAGACATACCCAAAGCATCCTGATGCAGAACAATGCGTGCTTGAGGAACGCTCTTCTATTATGCCAGACAGAGTTGGTATATATTTCATTATTTTGTTGTTAGAGAAATTTGTAAGTGGCTCAGTTGCAATTCTGAGTGACCAAAAAGCGGTTTTGGTTGATAGGCGAAAGAAAAGAAAATCGTATGTTAAGATTTACTGTCCCAGCCTTCTGCCGTAGGAAATGAAGAATTTGGATGGATAGTCCTCTTGTAATTGTGTGGATTTTGGAGGTCACGGGGTTGGGTTTGTTTTTTTTGTTTTTTACTCAGCCTCTCATTTTTCTTCAGGTAGATGAATATCTTGTATCAGAATAGTATTTTTCTTTTTGAGTCTATACGGAGTTACAGCCTGCACAGAAATAGAAATTCTCCCCCAAAAAAGAAAACAGCACTCAAAGGCTGTATGACCTTGTGAAGAGGGGGCTGAAATGGAGTTGGGGGAACATGGTTCTGTGGTGCTGGCTCTGGCCTCAAGTGTGGCAGAGTTGCATCAGTGTGTTTATGCCATTTTGCTTCTCTGAGCCTCTTTCCTCCTTTGCATTGTGTTGCCTTTTATTGTGTTTTCTTATAAGATTTGCATGCAGTTCAAGATCCATTCAGATGTTGTCCAAAGTCGTCATTCCATTACCTTTTTGCTGCTCTGGGCCCAGAGGCCAGGCAGGAATTCCTTCTTCTGTATCATGACTGTGAATAAATCTAACTAACTTCCCTTACAATTCTTGGTAACTTCGCTGATTTGTCAGTGCCTCCTGCAAATAAAGCATATACTATATGCTATGTGATGTACCTCTTCTGATCTTCTCGTCTCTTCTCATCACCCCTCTAATACTGCTGTTGAGGGTTGTGCTTCTGCTCCTGCTCCCTGCCATTCAGTTACCATTTCCAACCATTCCCTTCACTATTTCCATCTCAAATTGAAGCTCACTTGTGTGATCTTTTGTGGCTTCAGCCCAGCTCATGTTTTTTTTTTCCTCATCTTGTTCTATCCTAACCTGGTTTTTTGTTTGGTTTGGGGGTTTTGTTTTGTTTTTACCATTCACTTGTTTCACTGCACTCTTTGCTTTTAGGCTTTCACATCTCTCACTGGTATCATATCTACCAGGCTTACATTAATGTTTTTGCTGTTCCAACACCCTTTCTTCTTTTGAATTTTTTCCAGAAAGAGGTCTTCTGATCACAAACATCCAAATAACCACCCTTGACTGAGCAGCTGTCTATATTTTTTCCCATACTTATTTTGGACTGTTAGATCTGTGGAGCACAGGATGTAGTTGCTGCCTTTTTTGATAAACTCCATGTAAACTTTGCTGGCTACAGCTGAGGTACTGTGCTTATGCCTCGGAACTGGGTGTCTCACCTCTGGAAACAAAAAGTTATAACTGATGGGTAGGGATGGGGCAAGATACTTCCGTGATAGTGCACATGCTTCCTATTACAGTGTGTGTTTTCCTGTTTCTCATTTTGTCTCTCCCTAGTAGTTTATCCACTGGCACTTATTGCGGGTGAGGATGGACTTGAGTGATAGTCAGCCAATCTCTGATTTGCATGTATATGCTTTTAATAAGCTAATTTTCCACAATCCAAAGAAAAAAGGAAAATTTGCCCTTGTCACACAGTGAGCTAGCAGAAAACACAGCATAGGTTAAGAGCAGTTTTATAGTGAAACAAATCTCAGGCTTCCTTTTCCTTTTGTCTTGCAGAGGCAGGCAGTGGCCAAGATTACGTGACCTCAGAAAATCAGCTACTTTACTACCCTAGTATTACCTATGCTATCATTGGTAGCTCTGTCATTTTTGTACTTGTGGTGGCCTTTCTTGCCTTAGTCCTGCATCACCAGCGGAAACGCAACAATCTCATGACCCTGCCAGTGCATCGACTACAGCACCCTGTCCTGCTGTCCCGGCTGGTGGTCCTCGATCACCCACACCACTGCAGTGTCACCTACAACGTCAACAATGGGATCCAGTACATGTCCAACCAGGCCTACCACAGGCCAGTGGACCTGGACTCTCCGCCATCCTATTCAGAGGCTGTGCTTGACCAAAGGTATGTATAGGAGCTAATTCTGTGCTCATGAAGTCTCACGCTACTGGTTGCAGCTCTGTTAATCTGTGCTTCTGCTCCCCATTTATTCTTATTACTGCTTTTGACAGAAGTACAGCATTGCAATTCTGTCATATGCATAGGATCAAATTTGGGCAAATTTGAGCTCCTCCTGCATATGAAAAATTCATGGTCCTGAGGTCCCCTTACTGTTACTGGTATTAAAGGGATTTAAGGCAAACTTAAGTTATGCTCTCTTAGCACATGTCGTTGGTAGTAGAGATTTTGAGGATGGCAGAAGAATGCAAAGAAATGTATCACTTGTCTAGTAGTGATATCCTGTGCTAGTCTGGAATCAAAACATGAAAATTGAATTTGGAGTTTAGCTAAAAAACAGCTAGGCTGTAGGTCATACTATTTAAAAATAAATTACCCTGGTCATATGTGATAAGTATATAAAGGTAAGAGGTCTTCAGTTCTTACATAAAGAAATTTATGCAGTGCACTACTTTCCCTTTACCAATAGAAGAAAAGAACAAGGGCTCTGAAATGGAAAGTGCTGTTCTCATTTGAAACAGCTGAAAGTGCTTTGAAGTTTTGTGGGTGGGTGTGGTTTGGGTTATGATATTTTCATAGTATGACACTGGTTTTATTTGTAGATAATTAACCTTTGTTTTAACCTCTGTCTGTAAAGTCTTTCCAAACAAAACTCCTGGACTGACATCCTCTGTACATAAAAAGGCATGGTGTGATCTTTAATGATCCAGATTGTTCGCTGTCACCCTGTCAGGATTTTTTAGTATGAACTCTGGGATCTAAGAATAATAGTATAATCATTTACATTCCTATTTTCTGCTGCATTTGGCAGCAGCTCCCTTGTCTTAATGTTGACATTCATAATAATTATATCTTTTTGTTAGTAAAGACAACTAAATGAGCAGCTGTATAGATTGTAATCTCTTCTCACCTGAGATGATACAAACCATTAGCAATTTCAGAGCTAATTGCTCCCAGGACCTGTTATCAATCGGCTAAATCCTTCAGTCCCTTTACTTGTTTACTATCAGAACTGAAAAACAGTTTTCCTGAATCCAGGACTTGTCTATGCCTACTTAGCAGTTGCTCTGCATGTAATATCATGACAGTAAAAGTGATTTGTTGTGTGGAGAATTCAGTTCATTATTTATTTGTAGACCATAAGCCATTAATCTTTGTCACTTAATGGAGGTTTCCTCAGAGCTTTTTTTGTGTTCACGTCATTATCTATAGGTGTAAATCCACTACTTACCTTATTTCTTTTAAAGCACTTTCTCAGGTTATATAAATGTTATGCAGGAAAAATTCTTACCTCTTGCAGCTGTCTTTGAGGATAAGCTGAGATTTGTTGGAAGTGCATACCCATGAAAAACAGTAGAGAGTGTTAAGCAGCATGTAATTAGCTATGTTGCATCTTGACCAGAAACCTTGGTGCCCAGTGGTGGTATGGATGTTTTGGGATGACCTGAATAATGTAGGCAGGAAATGTAGGCATCATGGAAAAGCTAAGAAATACTATTTGTTTTTTTCATAATTGGTAAACTATGTACTATCTTCCGTACCACTGTTTTCAGTAACCTCTTACTATGTTGTGTATCTTGCAGCAGACCACCTTGGTTTGACCTTCCTCCACCTCCATATTGCTCTGAATCTGAACCCCCTAATCAGCCAGATCTTCCTCCTTACCAGTCTCGGACGGGAAGCTTGGTGAGCACAGACACCCCCATGGCAGGAAGCCCTCTGGGCACAGCTGGCAGTTGGACAAGAGAAATCCATGACAGCATGGATAGCCACAGAACTCTTCTCGAGGGGACAGCAGATCAAAGCGATTCTCTGGTCAACCACATTGCTGAAAGAGAAGTGTAACTGCTCCAGTATTTGGGATGGCCAGGAAGGCATTTACTTCTTCGAGTCTATATGGGTTAATCTGCTGTGGCTAATAGGTTTCAGGGGCACATGTGCCTGAACGATGACTTGATTTGAATCCACACTAAGTTAATATTTGAATTCAGCATTTTGGACTCATCAAAGACAGAGCTGTAAGAGCTAAACCTAGAGTCACATCAGGTCTCCACAATATTTCTGCGAGCAAGTTCTGGTTCAGACTAGTAAAAGAAGCATCAGTGCTGTGTCAAAGAACTGATGTGATGTATTTCTTGGACTATTTACTGTATATGAATGTATATATGTGCATGTATAATACATACACATGTTGCACACAAAAAACTATGCCAGAAGGACTCTTGTTTTCAGACTGCCTCCCGTCCTGTTGACATGTGAGCTGTTTCTTCTTACTGCCTAGTGCCAATTGCTGGTCACTGAAGCACATGAGAGGCAGTGTTTCTTCTCGGAGGTCTGGTGCCCAATGCTAGCCCATTGGCAGTGCTCAAATTGCAGAAAATGCCCTACTTGACCCTTTTTTCATGGCCTGGAACATTCTCACTGTGAATGTAATTTTCAAAGTTTAAGCTTGTGAGGATGCAACAATTCTCTAACTGAGCAAATGAGGGTTTTTTCCCCAGATGCCAATATCTAGGCCAAATTTGCATGGGTTTTTTTGAATGCCACAATGGTCGGCTTATCTGTCAAACTTCAAGACTGAGTACAGAGGCACTGAAGCTTCTCAACAAACCAGTGCAAGACTTCTTTTCAAGCATGGCAAAACAACATCACTGCATGTGTTCCTTCTTTAAAACAAAACAAAACAAAACAAAAAAACTCATAACCAAACAACAAAACAAAACAAAAAAACAACCAAAAAAACCCCAAACTGTTTCAGCTAAATTTTGAACACCAAAACCAACCTGAGACAAACACCCATAGTCATAGAATCATAGAACTGTTTAGGTTGGAAAAGACCTTTAAGATCATCCAGTCCAACCATTAACCTAACATTACCAAGTCCACCAATAAACCAGTTAAGGGTAGAGTAGCAACCCCACGCCACCAATGGAAAGCTTTACTGTGAATGACTAGTTTGTAATACTTATAAAATAACTGAAAGCAGGTCATGTAGTGAAAGGTGTTGGGCTTGTCAGCCCTGTCTACAGCCTGTCTACGTACATGCACGGATACAGGTTTAATACTATGTGTGTCTATGTAAGTAGTGTATTGCATAGGTTTAGTTCTGCTGCACCAGTAGAACTCTAAAATGTCAAAGCTTCACTTACGATATTCTCTTTTTTTTATTTACGGAGTTGGCATTATGCGAGTTCATTTGGTTGAAATTCTAGCTTCTGCAGCAAAACAGAATTATTTGTGTCTGTGTCACAGTTTAGCCCCTGTTGGCATCCAAGCACCTTACAGGTGCTCGCTCACCCTCCCGCCCCGGTGGGATAGGGGAGAGAATCGGAAGGGCAAAAGTAAGAAAACTTGTGGGTTGAGGTAAGAACAATTTAATAATTGAAACAAAGTAGTAATAATAATAATAATAATGGTACTAATAAAATCTGTAATGAAAAGGAGAACAATGAGAGAGAGAAACAAAACCTGGGGGGCGGGGGGTGGGGGGAAGTGGTGCAACTGCTCACCACCCGCCAACCGATGCCCAGCCAGTCCCCAAGCAACGATCGCTGTCCCCTGGCCAAGTCCCCCTAATTTATATACTGAGCATGATGTCATATGGTATGGAATAGCCCTTTGGTCAGTTTGGATCAGCTGTCTTGGCAGTGCCCCCTCCCAGTTTCTTGTGCACCTGGCAGAGCATGGAAAGCTGAAAAGTCCTTGACTGCTGTAAGGACTACTTAGCAACAACTAAAACATCAGTGTGTTACCAGCATTCTTCTCCTACTAAATCCAAAGCACAGCACTATGCCAGGTACTAGGAAGAAAATTAACTTTATCCCAGCCAAAACCGGGACAGTCTGTTTTGTCCTAACTCTTGGCACGGTCTCCTGTGAAGTGTGTTTCAGTGCACAGTGAATCACCCGTGTGAAAGCATCTCGGAGGTAAAAGTATTTGGAGTGGCAAGAGGGAAGGTAAGCTGTGAATTTTAATGGCACTGCAGTGCTGTGCTTGTGCTCAGTATACAGGAAACAATGTAGCATCTTCCTCTTGTCCAGAGAGAAATTGGCCTTGAAAAATTATTTGTATTTGTCTATCAAACACATTTCCCATTCCTTGTATATAATGAATGGTGTCATTAAACAGACTTTGCTGTTTAATGGAAATGAAGGAAGCTGACTGCCCACACCTTCTGCTTTCTTCCTCCCCATCTTTCTAAAGTAACTTCTTTTGCCCAAAGGTTATATGCTCAGAACCCAAGAAGTTTTGAGCTTGAGTGTAGGTAGGGGAACGACTCAAATTCAGTCTCAGTTCCCACACATACACCTGAATTTTTTTTGTGTGGTTTTTTTTTCATTTCCAGCTCTGGAGTCTACTGCCATGGTATTTAAGAGGCAGGGGCCAGATGGATTTACAAGCACGGGTCATTCCAGGGCTGAGACTACATGGTGGGGAGCACTGGAGAATTCTAATGCTGATGGGCTTGGCTGATTTTGGAAGCAGATTAATGGGCAGCCTTTCATTATAGGATTAGGCAGCCTGTCTTGAAGTGCACTGGTGAAGATGCTCCTAGGTCCTTGTAAAGCCATGTACAAGACTGGGACAGATTTCATCCTTGCTGGGAGCTCAAGCAATGTAATTATGCTGTCTTTCACAAAGCAGGACTTGGCTAATTAATGACTCCGTATGACTTGATGACTGTTGTCATTGTCACATAGCAGACAGTTATTCTTTGTTCGACAGGTAGGTTAAACTCAGGAACATAGCTGAGTTAATAGTAAAGGTGGGTGTGGGGGTGTCTCCTGTGAGCACTGGGTCCTGGTGTCCCTCTTGCCTTTCGTTAAGGTTCTGCTTGGACTCTGTAAGAGAGCTATGTAATGCTGTATCAGAATTAGCCTTAACATTTTTCTGTTGCAGTTTTTAAAACATTATATTGGACTTTAAAACATACTATTGAAGTGTTTGCAGTAGTTTCATTAGAATTAGACATCTTTTTAATTTTGAAGTTGTCTAAGGCTGTATTAGTGAAACTAAATCCTTGTGTCCAGTGTAACTTATGTGGCACGTGTCCCTCACGCAAGGCTTCCACGGGGGACTGCATTTCACCACGTGTTCTAAGATACCAGGGAGCATGCAAACCAAATACTGTTTGCCTATGGCATCTGAAAAACATTGCCTTGCATTACTACGAAGTATGAAAAGAGTGGACATAGCCTGCTGCTTCTGCCTTCTGTGTCAGTCACTGTCATATATGTACATGTATCTTTTTTTCTTTTTAATATATATATATTTTTTCAGGTTGTATATATTCATGTAGCTTTTGCATTAAGATAATCCATTTGGGCTTATAAAAAATAAGAAGGAACAAACATTCTAAATGGTGTGACATTTTCCCTTCCAGCTAAGGGTGAATTTAGCTTTGTATAGGAATCTTTTAGTTTTTGAGAACACAAATTACAAAAGGAGATTGTGCCTTTCTGATTGATTGTTGATTTGGGAGGCTGTTAACTACATTTCTGGGTGTTGTTACATATCATTATCTAGAGATCCAAAAAGAGAAACAAGTCTTGTCTTCCTCTTTGTTGTTACTTATGAGGACCACTGAACTTTGAGGATTACGGAAGTTCAGTATCTTGTTCCAAAAAGGCATGCTAAAGCTTTAAGGGGGGTGGGTTCATCTTACTCCAGTTTTCTGGTTTGTAGAACAGATTTGCTAGCTGGTTTCTTTGGAAATTGCTGTAGTATCACACAGAAATTATTTGTAACATGTCACTTTAGTAGTGTTAATACAGCGTTATACTGCATTATTCAGTGGAATCTTTGGGAAAGCATGGTAGCAACAGGCACACTGATGAAATTAAATATTTTATTGAAAATCTTGCGGCTTGTAAGGCTGAAGTTAAATGTTCATGAAATACCATGTGGTAGGATTTCTTTTCAGTGGCTGGTAAAATTGGAATTAATCATTCTGTTGTTTGCAATTGCTTTTAACCTTTTAGTTTGAGGTTAGTCCTCCAGGAGCTTTTCTTTATACTTAATATTTAAACAAATGGATGTTATTTCAAAGACCTATTCTTACAAAAGTAAAACCGATTAAAGTTTTGTTCCAGGGCCAAATTCTGATTCCACATCTGTATTGAATGGTGACCATTGTAATGAGTAGTTCTTCTCAGTGCAGGCATTAATATATTTGATTCCAACAAAACAATTTGAATTTAATGACTACTTGAGGTAAAGGAAGGAATGTGGATTAGCCTGTTGGAAGTAAGATTGGGGTTATTTAAAAATAAACAAATAAATACATTCAGGAGTGTCTGTAACCTCTGCTGAAGTCAGAGTGCTGTCTATTTAAAATTTAGGCCATTAGTAAATCCTCCTGATATAATAATCTGAAGTTCTTTGTAAGGCAAGTTACAATTTACCTCTCTGGTAGTGTGCTAATGGAAAACTGGCAGTAATGCTTTTAAAAGAGATCCTGTGAATAATTTTCTCAACTCTTGTCTACAGCGACATACATGACAACACTGACTCCACTGCGAGTTTTAAATAACTCTGCTTTCATTCTTCTCTCCTTTTAAGTCAAATCAGTTTTATTTACACCACTTCACTTTGATACAGCTAATAGGGCCCTTGTGATAGATTTAGAAGCTGGGTGGAAGAAAGAGATGATGACTCTCATTGTAATTAATGCCGCAGCTTGTTAATCTTGTGCGCTTTACTTTTTAGACATCTTAGGAAAGAAAAATGGTTTTAGTAGATAAGAAAAACTATTAACGATTAAAAGGATAGAGGGACATTAATTCTGAATTTAATTTTTAAGGAATATTTAAAATTGTATAAATGAAGGAAGAATTTAATGCTAT